ATTATCTTTTTCTTAATTGCATCATATTGGGTTTTTATCTAATGCATCATGACATGAAATCCTAAGAAGCATGACATGGAAAAGAGAATGAGATGATAGGTGATGAAAAACCCTTGATCACTAAGTCATATATTCCTTTCACCTACATGTCCTTTCCCTTCGTCAAGGATTTTACAGATAACCGTCTATAACCAAGAATTCTTGACCATTGACTGCCAAGGAAGAAATCATCCGAGTATCTCTCATGGACACTCCCCAACGAAGAGAGGAAGAGAGTGGACATGTGGATGAGGATGGGATCTCTTTCACCCATCCACTCACTCACTGTCATGTCATTCACTCCCTCACTCCACCTCCGCTCTGTGTTTGGAGGTGATAGAGTGGGAAGGAATGAGAGATGAAGTGATGGATGGGTTGGTGAAGTGATGAACCCATCCACATCTCATGGTCATTTGTCATCTCTTTCCATCTCTATCTCCCATCCTCACCAACCGACAGGGGAAGGGTGGTGAGAGGCGTGAGAGATGAAAGAGATGTCACCCGCTGGCAAGTTCTTTCCAGCGGTTACAAATGAGATGATGCTATCCCTTCCTTTCCCTTCTATCTACTTCCAAGGGATAGAAGAGAGCGTAGGAAGGGAGAAAGAGGAAGGGATATACCAGCTCCTTTAACCCGCTGTAACGACAATATGATGGAGGCTTACCAATTTCCAGGATAAACAGACGGGAAATGCCTCCATCCATTCCTTTCCCGGCCTTTTTCATCTCTAGATGAGGCCGTGGGATGGATGTAGGAGAAGGAAGTGAAAGGAAGAGATACAGCGGGAGAGAAGGAAACCGCTGACGAGTGAATCCTCTTTCATCTACATTCCATCCCTTTCCCTTCCTATCATCCCTCTTCATCTTGGGATTTGGAAATCCAGATGAAGTGAAGGGATGGGAGAGGGAAATTGTAAGAAGTGGATAGAGGTTCCGGAAGATGCATTCATTGGCAGCTGAGGAAGCGAGTAGACGGCTATTTCACTCTCATATCCATCCCGCTCTCTTCTCTCGCTCTTTCTCTCCTCACTCTGCAGCCAAGCCGCTATGACGTGAGGAATAGAAAGGCTTGGAAGGAGAGAGTGAGGGATGGTGAGTGAACGGTTAGACCAAGAGCTGAGACAAAGGGAACAGCTCCATCCGTTCACCTTGTTCACTCTCTCACACCTCCTCCATCTCCACGCCGTCCATGGTAGGGAACAGAGAGACCAGACGGAGAGAGGCGTGAAAGAGATGGAAGGAGGATGTGGTCAAGGATTTTCTCTAAGACACGCCGCACAGTGAAGAATTCTCCAGTCAACAGCTTATCACCCATCCCTTCATGCCTCACAGAGAAGACTGAGAGGCGGGATGGATTCTAGATGCTGGAAGATGGCTGACAGCAGGTAGGAGACAGGGAGCGGTGAGTGAGTCTGTGAGCCGTTCCTTTCCTCTCGCCTCCGCTCCATGCAATCCATTCCCTCTAACTCCCTTTCACCTCTGTGTCTAGGATGTGATGCGCTTGAAAGGAAAAAGGGTTAAACGGTTCGCCCTACCAATGTAGTTTGGACCCCTACATGCAAACGTGAAACGCAACAACACAGCAAATATTACATTTAATTTGATGTTGCTCTGATGCTGCCCCATGACATGTTTTGTACAAACATAGGGCCATTTTCTCAAGCTGTCAAAATCTTCTCAATGATCAATGGAGGAGAAGAAGCTTAGTTGAAGTTCAACACTGTCCGGCCTCATCCGCCCTGGCCTGCTTCGTCGCAACCTCCTTGAACAGCAAATTGCCAACCTTGGGATCCCAAAAGGGTGGCCCCCGTCCAAAGGAAAAAGCCATGGAGATGGTGGGAGCTTGGCGTGCAGATTTCGTGGCAGGCGCAGTTTCTGTGAGCTGGGTTCGCAGATTTCGTTTCAGGCGCAGTAAGCCTGGCCTGCAGATTTTGTGGCATGCGCAGCGCGCCGATTGCTTGGCGTGCAGGTGTTGTGGCAGGTGTGGTACTTGAGCAGAAGTTTCGCTCAACAGTGTCACTTTGAAGCGTTGCTCACATGTGTCACTGAGTGTTGCTCCCAAGTTTCGTGCTGCCGATCGCACATGTGTTTCTCGCAAGTGTTTCGCACGAGTGTCACTCTAGAGTGTCGCCAAGAAGTGTCGCTCGCGTTGTCGCTCCGGAGTGTCGCGCAAGGGTGTCGCTCAGAAGTGTCGCTCGCAAGTGTCGCTCAGAAGCGTCGACTGAAAAGTGTCCATGAGAAGTGCCGCCCAAAGGTGTCGTTGAAGAATGTGTCGCTCAGAAGTGTCGCTTGCAAGCATCGTTCAAAAGGTGTCAGTCAGAAGTGCCGCGCACAAGTGTCATTCAAGAATGTCGCTCCGGTTGTCGCTCAGACGTGTCGCGCGGTTGCTCAAAGGGGTCGTTCAAGAATGTCCCACTCAGAAATGTCACGCGCAAGTGTCACTCAAGAGTGTTGCGCTCAGGGGTGGTTCAAAGATGTCTTGCTCAGAGGTGTCACGCAAGAGTGTGGCGCGCAAGTGTCGCTCTATAGTGTCGCTCAGAAGTGTCGCACGTGTTGTCGCTCCGAAGTGTCTCTTAGAGGCGTCTCTTAGAGGTGTCGCTCAGAAGTGTCTCTTAGAATTGCCGCCCAAGAGTTGCGCGAGAGGTGTTGGTTCAGGTGTCGTTACAGAATGTGTTGCTCAGAAGTGTCCTACAAGAACTTGGCTTGTAAGAAAGCGTCGTGCAAAATGTGTCAGTCAGAAGTGCTGCGCGCAAGTGTCGTTCAAGAATGTCGCTCAGGTTGTCGCAAGATGTCATTGTACTTCAAACTTTGAGCCAAGAGTTAGCAGGCGGATTGCGCTCGGGTTCGTGGCTTCAATCAGGTTTTTGCAAGAAGAGACCCTAATCAGAAAGACCTTTCTCAGGGCAACCCTTCGGTGGCCCCTCATAAGCACACTTGGGGTGCTTGGCTGAGCTCGCCGTCGGAATGCCAGGTTGTTGACGCCGAGTTGGTGACATCTACTTTTAGTAAGGTCAGCACTCATGGGCGATGCTGGGGGTTGCGACCACTTTAGAGAGCGACATCTACCTCCCAAAAGCCGAGTTGGGGAACGGCGACATGTTACTTTAACTTCGCGGAGAAGCTTTTCCTAAAAACACTAGTGATGCTGGGGATCTTGACCACTTTTGCTGGCGGACTATCCACATCTAGTTCTTGCGCGCAAAAACATTTCCTTTTTGTAAGCGCTGGCGACCTGAGCGTGTTGACCGCTTTAGCTTGTGGACGACAGCGGCATCTACCCTTAGCAAAGCAGAAAGGGACGTCCTGAGCGGCGAGTTTTTGCCCCTTTGGCGCTCTGAAAAAACATCACTGAGAAACCGAATAAAACCAGAAAACGATGGAACAAAACAATATGGCGGGGGACATTCTGGGCACGCGCCCTAGTTGCAAATCCGAAAGCAAAAAAACTCAAGAACGCAATAAAACGAGAAACCAAAACAGCAGTCTGGCTCTTGTGCTGCCAGATTGCTTTTTGCACAATTTAATAGATTTATCAAGTTTTTGCTTTCAGGCTACCGTCCCACGTTTGTATTGCCAGATTGTTTTTTTTGTGTCTTGGTTTTATTGGATGTCTCGAGGTTTTTGGTTTTCTAGTACCTCTACTGGCTGCCCGCGTTTGTTCTCTTTGCAGCCTATCACGGGGATGGGAGATGTTGCTACACAGAGGCTGCCCTCACAACCTTGACGCACGCTCCGCCCGGAGATATTTCTGTTGTTCTTACAATCTCTTAAATTGTGTTTCTAGTCTTGAGTATATTCGATTGCTCGAGGTGTCTTGGGTGTTCGAGTCTGAGCATTCGATTTCTCGAGGTTATTTTCGGTTTTGCTGCCTGGCAGGAAGTCTAGCTGCAACTCAATTAAATCAGGGTTTTCGTGTTGAAAGAGGGCTTCAATTACGATGTCATGAGAAATCATATCTCAATCTTTGAAACGAGCTTCCTTCCCAAATGCTGATCGCCCAACCTTTTTTCACCATAACTTGCATAGGAAGTAATAAGGACAGAATTCAAATAGAGCGTCTAGGTCCAATTAGAATCTGATCATGGCTTCAAGTTGCTGTTCATAAGAATTCTAATTTCAAATTTGGCAAGGAAAGAGTGCCAGCAGAGTCTCTAATTTGGCTATTAGAGAGGAGGATGGCCTGGGCGGTTGGTTCGTTCTGGCTTTGCACGTGTGCGAACAGGTGGCTTTTGCACACAACAACGTATCCACTGACAACAAATTCCAAGCATCGCCGGCTAACACCAGCAGGGCCTCTTCCTACAGCCATTCAGTTCGAACGCGCCGCTCCCATCGCCATCAATATCACCATCACCTCGATATCATGGCCCCTGCGGCCAATTTGGAAGAAGGTATAATTGAATACATTTCCTTTGAGCGCCGGTGACGCTGGGGGACCGCATTAGCGCCGAAAAACAACCCTGGAGGCTGATTTGATCACACCGCTCTCGACCTTTTTCACGGACAGAAGCAGCTTCACGGAACAATCGCGACCAAAGATGTTTTCTTTTTTTCCGATTTTCACGGTTTTTGCGGCCTTTTCACGGATTTTTGCGGCTTTCTCATGGATTTTCACGGCTACATTTCGCTCATGTCATGGGATTCTGGTGGCCGCATGGGATTGCTGAGTTGTTTGGCCGAAAAGACCTCCGATGACGTGCAGTCTCCAGGACTATTGGTTTGTCTCGAGACACACGAGATTTCTTGTTTCAGCGCACAGTGCGGGCTTGGATGGAACGGAGCTGCAAAGTTATAGTGGGCTCTCAGTTGGGGATGGGTTGGCTCCTCATTCCTTTAGGGGAAGCGTTAACTTCTGCCACTCGATGGGCGGTTCCAAGCCCCTGAGGCAGGTTTATCTCACAAATTTGAGGGGGATGCGGGCATTGCAAACCATGCCCCAAAACACGAGCCACGAGTTCTCAGGCAATGATCCTCATGGAGACCTGTGGGGAAGCGGAGTTTGGCCTACCCATTTTTCTGGCGGTGATGGTTGCTCTGGCTGGACCTAAAAGGGACGGGCGGGCGGTTTCAAACCAAAACGACGTCTTTGCCGGACCAGGGAACACACCAGGCGGAAAGATCCGTAGCTGTTTCTCATTTGAGCTACATATGGACTCGTATGGCTAGTCAATCAGTTCCAGCTGCGCGAGCTGCTGCGTCTTTTTTGCCAGGAGCCGGAATAACACGGCCCACAGCAAGAGCCCTGAGGCAGCCCAATCTAGTGAACTTCAGATTGATCAGCTATCTCTCTCTTTCCTCCCGTCCATGCTTCTCTTTCAATATCTTTTTCTGACTCTTGGATTTATTGCAGATTGAGGCGAACTGGTGCTCGTTCCTGCTCTCAAAGCGACGCGTCGACGCCGCTCTTCCGACCCTCCAAGTCAAGAGGCTGTTGACTTGTCAGACTTTACCAGTTGGTTTTCGAGCGGAGTTCCGACCCTCAAATATCGTGGCAAGCTCAGCATTTTGAGGACTCGGTTTGAGGGGCAAACCTCCAGCTTGTTTCTCTGCTTTTCTGAGCAAAGTTGTGTCGTAGCCCGACCAGCAGGGAGTTCCTCAAAGGACAAGCGCGCAAGGAAGCACACAATTGTTGGACCTGACGTATCATCACACCACTTGCCCGTTCACCATGGTTCGGTTTTGCGGGCAGTGTAGTCCGAACGACACATGCTTTCGTCGGTTCATGTTTTGAATACAAAAAGGCTTTTCATGCAATGATAATGACTGATTTCGGCCATACGAGGTTGCGAAGTGGACCGGGGACTACTTCAACAGGCCGAGCGCTTATTACCTCCAGAAAAATAATTATTACTGTTGCTCGATGTTTGCGCTGTGTCAGATGCACGAAAGAGCTCTGTGCACGGTCAAGCAGGAAGAAGGAGACAAGTAGGTCGATTATGAGGCAATAGTCAGCACGCCCACGGAAAGTCTATGGTTTTCAATTTCTCACACCAGCTGAGAAAGCACATTTTATGAAGTGTGTGTTGCTTTCTTGCTTAGTCCTAAAGGGCCCCTGTAGCGATTGCGTGTTGCCGTAGCACCAGCGTAGGCCATGCGTTTGTGGCTTCCAAGCGGAGTTGGTGCGCCTGCTATGACAGCCGCAGCTGAGAAATGTGGTTATTGGTGGTGAGCACTGGTCGCATCACCAGCCCAACTGGCTTTGAAACTTCTACCTCAACCAGTGAGGGAACACGTAAACCGCATCCTGTGTTGCGCTTGGCTTCAATTTGGTAGTGGACGTTAGTTGCGCGCATTTGAGACATTCATTCCGGGGTGGTAGTAACACACAGGCTGACATGCCTGGCGCTTCGCACCTTGCGCAGGGGCATCTATGACTTGCACATCGTGGAGATCAAGCGTGTGCCTTTTCTGGAGCCGCAGCCGGAGAGGGACATGATCAGACTACAGGCATGCTTGGCCAATGCCTTTTTGGGAACTTTCTCCGTGCGCGCAGACATAGTGGTGCCTTCGGGGGCAATCACCTTCGGGCAAGTTGCCGTGAGCTGGTCTGAGTTATAGTCTTCGCTGTGCGTCCCTGAACTTGCGCGGTGCTAGTTTTTGCCAACTCCCGAATGCCTGGCCATAGCGCGTGCTATCTCGGCAGAGTACATATTGAGGGGTTAGTCTACGCAAATAATCAATGCCGTACTTTCCAAATGTGCCAGCGGTCATTTTCAAGCTCGCCTTCCAGGTTCGCGATGTCATGGCTCGGCCTGTGGTGACTCTGGAATTGGTGTGCAAGATCTCCCGCCTGGTTGAGGCAGGCGTAGCGGCGTGTCTCTTGCCACCTTTTTTGTCACGAGTGAAATCCCTGGAAGCGCTTGCGCGTGCTTGTTTCTGTAGCTGCGCGAGAGTGCATTAGCAGATGCGAGAGTGCGTGTGAGTCAACGAAATACATTGTGCGATCGTGTGAGTCAAATCCATGGGCGCCACGAGTTGTTCCCTGAAGCCTACGACTTTTTTTGCTCTGCGCAAGTGGAAATTGAATGTTAAGCTTTCTGTTGTGGACGCACGCTTAAGGTCATCTAGCTGCATGACGGGCAACGTGAATTCAGCTTGAGCTGTGCTCCCCCAGAATTGGGAATGCGTGGCGCAGGCTGCGTGCAAGTCGGTGATCGCACGCCTTCGAGTCATCAGCGCAGGTCACATCTGGAAGGTAGAAGTTGCAAACTGGAATGGTCCGCTCTGCAGGTCAAGTACGCTGGTCAGTGGCACAAGTGAACCAGCTGAAAAGCGCCAGGCTTAGTTGCCCGTTAAGTAGTAGTCGTTGTGAGGGTCCAGTTGCCCTTCCGGGGGCAACGGGCATCATCCTCAGGAGTGCCAGCGCCAACTGCCAGCACTTCACGCCTTCGTTTACCATGGTGGCGCCCGACTCTGTGCAACAGAAACGATCGCTTAGAGACAGGGATTGCGCGCGCACGCACACACTCACAAAGTTCGCGCACGCAACCACACACACATGCAAACACAAAAACACCCACACACGCCACGAAGACGGGACAAGAGCGAGAGAGAAAAAAAAGAGGAACAAGAGAGAACGAGGGAGAGAGAGAGAGAGAGAGAGGGAGCTGCACACACGCACGCACACACACACACACACACGTTGGCCGGCGTGTCGGAACAGGCGCAGGCAAGGGCGCACATGAAGCGACTACTTGGCATCGACTGGCCGCACACAGTTTGATTCCAGTTCAAGTGAGATGACACTCTTCCCCTGACATGAGCAAACTTGGGGCATAGTCATCCTTGTGTGGCACGACCAATGCCTTCTGAGCACCACTTTTCTCAGTGTGACAGCTCGCGAATTTTTACAGCCCTGCCGCAAAGAACAATGGCCCCAGCTGGGAGGCCGCCGTACTTAGAAGGCGGTGCCGGTCCACTTCCAAGCGAAGCACATAAGCGCTGACAGTTGGGTGCTGGCACTCCTGATGAGGATGCTCGCTGCCCCAAAAGACGACCCAACCAAGCCAGGCCGAGTTATTTGATTAAGGGTGCGCCTGCGTTCTGGCCGACTCGTGTGAGGGCGCATGTTTGTGTGTTTTGGCGTGTGAATTGTATGTGTTTGCACGCCTGTAGGTGCTTCTGTTCGCGCGCACGCGCGCAAACGAACAACCAAGACAAACACAAACGCACACACTGAAACATAAACGCACGCGCGCACAAGCGCGCGAACGGACAAACAAACAACCATGCAATGCAAACACAAACGTGCACGCTCAGGTACAAAGACACGGGCGCGCGCAAACACACAACCACTCAAACACGCAACGCAAACACATAAACTTACCCAAACTCACAGACACGCAGAAACACACCCGCGCGTACACACATACTTTTACACGCAGACATGCGCACGTGCATTCATATATCAACTCATGCATATGCACATTCACTCACGCACATGCGGACATGAATCGAATAATGAAGGCAACGCGATAAGCCCATCGCGAAAATGCAACATCAAACAGTTTTCCTTCAGCAGTTTCGAGCTGACTTGCCACATTGAGGCAACACGCGCGGTTTGCCAAAGCATGCTGTTTTCCGTTCAAGAATCCAAAGCAAGCTCGAACGCTCAGTCTAATGTCTCAAGCCTGCAAGGCAGACCTGGTTCTATCCAAGAGAGCCACATTGCAGCCAATCTGACGCGAGGTTCTCGCACATACCAGTCACCACGCATATCCTGCATCTTGGCCGCAATGAGACAAGAACCGTCAACGAGTTGCATGCGCCACGAACAACTGAGTACTGCGCTGCCGCAACGCTCGTTGGGCTTCTCTCGTGCTGCCAGCATGTGTTGCATGAGCGGGAGGTGCTGTATCCTGGGACACACCGCATGGCTGGCATGCTGTCCCAGATCATGCTGAGAAGGCTGGTTGCTGACTTGACTGCGGCGTGTGTACTTACTTACTGGACAGGACTCGCAAGGCCCCAGGACAAAGGGTTGCTGAATGCTACTGTTGACGTGGCCGGTGTTTCCAATTCATGTACGTCTTTGTGCGCAGACACCCACATTTTGCGACATGTTAGCTCCAAACATGTGTACGCGCGCATGTGTGTTAACACAACTGCCTACAACCGCATGTGCCAGTTGACGATTTGAATGTGAGGTCCCCATTGCGACAACAACCGTGGCCTGCCAGACGAGCTTGCCAGCTGGATCACAGTCTGTTTTCTGAACAGCTGCCTTGCCCTTGAAGCCAGCGGCGTCCGAATTCGGCGTTTGGCTTCTGGGTACAACGTGTTGCAAGTGTGCATGTGTGGTTTTGGTGTTGGCTGCATCTCAATGGCAGGGAACCTGTCATTGACACAGTCTCTGGAATTTTCTTCGCACGGTGTTTCCAAGAGTAACTACCAAATCTTATGACAATTAGCTCTGAAACTAAAGGGATTCTTCCAGAGGCGGTAATTGCCCGAGATGTCCTGGCTTGTCTCCGAGCGAGTGGGAAGGGTCTGATGGCTCGCTCACCTTTTTTCTCTCGCACCAGTGAAGACCCTCTACTCTTGGACAGCCGCCGTTTCAACATCCAGGCATGGTACCATGTTCAGCGCGCATGATGACATGAACCTGACGGCTGCTTTAGCACAAAGACAGTCGAAGACATATATTTGGTCGAAGACAGATTCGCCCGAACTTCATCTGGGTTTGTAAAAGCGAAGCGCGCCACTAACCTCTGACTGCGTGAGCAAGCAACACAGGTTGTCCAGCTCTTCACCCAGTTGCGCCCAACCCGGAAATGGGAAACGTCGACGTGAAGCATGTGCTAAACTATCCGTAACTATCCGTCAACGGCATATCGGGCTTAAGCATTTGCTACCCTAGCCGTCAGTTGCATGCCAACGAGAAACACTTAAACAACTAGCTGCGAACTACATGACAAGTTTGATCGTTTGCTAAACTCGCCGCCAAGAGCGTGTCATGGTGAAAGATTTGCTGTGCTAGCCACCAACTGCAAGTCTACTTGAAACATTTGCAAACCATCCGGCATTCGCATGTCGAACCGTTTGCAATCTAGCTACCAACGCCTGGCGACGTGAAAGTTTTGCAAAACTAGCGGCGCATGTTGACGTGAAGCGTTTGCTAAACCGGCCGTGAATTGCATGTTTTTTGAACCTTGCGCAAAACTTTGCCACACTAGCCGGCAATTGCACGTCGACGCAGCGTATTTGTGAACCTGGTGATAAATTGCACGTCGACCTGAAGCATTTGCTGAACTAGCCGTTAGTGCGTGTGGAAGTGAGACTTGTGTCTAAGCCAGCTGCCAAGTTGTGTCGACTTGAACCGTTTGCAGACTAGCCGTCAATTGCACGTCAATGTGAAAGATCAGTCACATGTCGACGCGAACCCTGTGCCAAACTTTGCTAAGCTAGCCGTCAACTGCTGTCGACTGAAAAAATGCTATAGTGGCCTTCAATTGCAGGTCGACGCGAAGCATTTGTTGAACTATCCGTCAATTGCGTGTGCGCTTGAAACCTTTGCCAAGCCGAGCTACACGCCAGTTGCATCTCAACGGGGCGCATTTTCTACACCAGCTGTCAATTACATGCCGACAAGAAACATTTGCTAAACTACATGTCAGCTGAAGGTCTACATGGTTCATTTGCTAAACTAGCCTTCATGAGCGTGCCGACTTCAATTTTTTGCAAGCTAGCCGTCAATTGCGTATCAATGTGAAAGATTTTTCAACTAGACGTCATTTGCATCTCGACGTGAACCTTCTGCTAAAATGTTGAGAAATAGCCATCAGTTCCGCGCTGACGCCAAAAAACTGAGCTGGCCGTCAATTGCATGTCGAAATGTATCATCTGCTAAAACTAGCCGTCAATAGCATGCTGGCATGAAACGTTTGCCCAACTAGCCGTCAATTGCATGCCGAGGTGCAGAATTTACTACACTTGCCGTCATTTGCCTGTTGACTTGAACCAGTGGCAAGCTATGGCATGTCAAAGTGAAAGATTCACTAAACTAGCCGTCAGTTCCATGTCGACGTGAACCTTGAATTCAACTTTGCTTAACTGGCCGTCAATTGCGTGTCGACGTACAGCTTTGCTAAACTAACCGCCAAATTGCATGTCGACGTGAAGCATTTGCTAAGCTAGCCGCCAACTGCATGTGAGCTTGAACGTTTGCTAAGCGAGTCCGCCAACCGCACGACGAGAAGCGTTAATTGCATGACATGACTATTTGCTCAACTAGCCGCCAATTGCAGCGCCACCACCGGCGCCTAACGCACGCCCAGCATCACCAATGCATCAAGGGACAGTCGCGCACCGAAGCCAAATCGCGTGTAGTGTCGCCTTTCACTCATAAGTCTCATAAGTCAAAAGAAAGGTAGGACCAGCAGGGCTGCGGCGATGCGGCAAGCACATGACACCAGCCTTGAAGCCACTCTCTGCCATCCCCAGCGCCACTCATGCAGCAAAGAGGAGTCCGGCCTTCCAGCCGCGAAGCAGTCCCGAAGCTGATGATGGTGATGATGATGATGATGCTTGATTTCCCCCTGCGCCTCGCGTAGGCGTGGCTTGCCTTACACAAGCTTCTTGGTATGACTTGAGATTAGGGCCCAAGAAAAGTCTGCATAGGCAATTGGCGTAGGCGCTTGTTGCCGGGTAGGCTCGCGTAGGCGCCCTTTCATGGTTTCGCAAAGCCGCGGAGTCTCCGCGTAGGCGTGGCTGGCACTGTATAGGCCCGAGCGGGGGCCATTCCTGTTTTGCGGGACTCATCCCCAGATAGCCTTAGCCAAAACGGTTCTTACTTCTAAAAGAGGCAGGGTTTGTTCAGCAGTATTCAGCAGTATCGGGCCAGTGTTTGGTTGGTGTTTTTGAGAGAGAGAGGATCCTGGAGCTGGGCGCAGACCAGGGCGCCTTCTACGGTGCCAGGGACGCGGCGCCTGAGAAGGTTATCGCCTGGGCGGAGCCCGGCGCCCCGGGAGCGTCCCAGTAGCGCTGAGATACCGTCGGGCCCAAAAGCTTTTTTTGCCGCAGTTTTGTGGGCGGGCGCAAGGAGCATTAGTAGGGAGATGTAGCGAGAAGTCTTCCCAACTTGCATGTCTACGACGGTGTGTGATGGGCAACAATATGGTTTGTGGTTTTTGTTCGAGCACGCAACATGACTCCCTAGCATCCATATCTTCTCAGCTTCCAGAAATGCCCGTGTGTGTGTGTTTGCTTTTGGCAGTGTTAGATGATCCGCCAGGACTGGTTTCAGCGTCGCATGAATGCCAGGCATAGTATCCTAGTTTCGAGTCAGCTTGCTTGAGAACGAGGGTTTTGTTGGTGTTGCGACCGTGTGTCGCGAGTTTGTTTCCTGTGAAAACCTGCCCGTCGCAATTGAAACGGTGGCGGGGAAGATGATATTGCGCCGATCAGCGTGGATGATGCAAGCGAGACGCAAGGGCCATGTAGAAAAATGATGGTTTCAGAGCAGGGCTTCTTGCCCAGGATGACTTCAGTACATCCATTTCGGTGTCTTCGCTGCATGATACCCAGCACACTTCCGGCCGAGCTGAAGCGCGGGAGGAGTTCTTAGTGCAGCCTTGGTGAAGCATATAGCAAATATGGCGATTCGGCAACTTAATTCATGCTTGCCTTTTTGTACGGAACGACAGCTCATGTTAAAGGGCTTGCCGTGGTTGGTTTGTCTTGTGACAACATGTTTCAGATCAAACTTTGCGGTGTGTGGGTGCGTGGGGTGAACGGGTAGCTGCAGCCTCACTGTTCCGACCAAATGGATTACAAGATGCCAAGAAGCCACGCGATTCATGTCTCTGACAAGACGTCACCTGTCCTTGCAGGCAGCTTCCACGCGCAGCTGCATGTGAATAGCAAAGATCACGGCGATGCCCAGAAGCAGTGCAAGCATTGACTATGAAATTGCCTTGAACATAACCCTGGCAAACGCAGGGACTGCCGCAGGTTGTGGAAGCGACAAGCTTGGAAGTCTGCGGGTTTAGAAATAGAAGGGCTGGCAGTTTGCCACGTGTATCTTCCAGGCCATAGCCGCGCCCGTTTAACATCGCAGTTCAGTTGCCAATGCTTAAGCCGGACCGACATCATGCTATGGTATGAACCACGAGCGTAGCTTGTGACCTGAAATGTCCTTAGTTAGCCCTTTATCTTCTCAATCTCACGCATCTTTCTTGTCTTGAACAAGCTGAGAGTAGAACCTGGCATTTGTTGTGTTTAGATTCCCTGAAAGCAGCGTAGCGAGGTGCAAAACACCTCTGCAGTATGAGAAGCTGTTATCAGGGCACATGGACGAGTACGTGCGCTTAGGGCCGCTTGGTGGAGAGGTGGTGGGATCGGCGTGCGATAGGGGTGGGTGCAGTTGCTGGAGTCGAACGACTTGCTAGACGGCGCTTGAGAAGTGTAGCGTGCAACACGCAGCTTGCTCCTGACGGTGTATGCTGCTTTGTGTAGCACAGCAGGAACGCGGTGCTGATGAGGGGCCATGGTTGTAGGTGTTAGTACCAGTAGAGCGAGCGAATCTGGTTGGCGGAAGTGTCAACAATCTAGAAACCGTGATTATCTTACCCGGTCTCTTGTGTTTATGCCGTTGTTCCCTTGAATTTTAACATTTATCTTTTTGTTTCTTTGTACCGTTCACTTTTTCTTTTTCGGTGTTTAACGGCAATCCCCTTGCTCTTTATCTTTTTTCTCGTCTTCTTTCCGGTAATCTTCATCTTTCTTATTTCCTTTTTCTTTCCCCTGTTCTTCTTTCCCTGTCTCTTTCTCACGCTTGTGTCGTTCCTTTGCTCTTTCTCTTTATCCGTTCGATCTTTCCTGAATGATTGCCTGTCGAGAAAATGCTTCGCACAGATCGCGCCCTTGTCTTTATCCGTTTCTTTGACTTCCTCTGTTTTATCTATCAGTTTTGTCTACTTATTTGTCTATCTATCTGTCCACTTATCCTTCTAGCAATCAACCCATCTACCTATCTATCATCTACCTATCTGTCTAATCTGTCTTTGTATTTTCTGTCTGTGTGTCGACCCATTTACCCATCGACCCATCTACCAATGTATCTCTATCTATCCTTGAACCAGGTTATCGATGATCCATGTCCTCTATCCATTCTCGAAACTGCGGCGCGTGCCACGGAATCTGTGCCTGACTCTGCAAAAGTGATGCGCGTGCCAAGAACTGCCACGAATTTCTTGCGAAAGCGCTAGTGTGGCGCCTGCCACAAAATCTGCGCTAGACCTTGCGAAAGTGCTGCGCCTGAAGCGAAATCTGCAGGTGACAGTTCGCGCAGCGTTGCCAAACATTGCGCCTGTTACGAAATCTGCGGCTGAGTCAGCACAAGTACCGTGCGTGCCACGAATCTACATAAACATCTCAGACTGCCAAAGCTTTGTGCCATCACGAAATGTGACAGCGAATCCAGCAAAGTGCTGCGCTTGCCACGCAATCTGTACCTCAGGTTGCCGGAGCGCTGCGCCTGTCGCGCAAACTCAAGTTGCGGAAGGCGCGCGTCTAATAGCCCCAGGTCCGAGGGTAGCTTGCCTGCTGAGACGCCGGTTTCCAGAGGTTCACTTTGATCGTGGCGATATGTATTCCCCCGCCACACGCGCTGTCTTGCCTTCTTCGCGTCTTTTCGACCGTGGGCCGTATAATTCTCGCTCGAGGAATATGCCTGATCTTACAACTTGCAAGATTCTGGCACGCTGTGTGACATTTCGGAAACATCACGCTGGGGTTGGCTAGCGCGAGCGATCGAACGTGCTGCGTGTCGGAAGCGCGCTCTGTTGCGTTTTTCCTCTGCTGCGCAGGCGCGCATGAGGGCTAGTAGTATTTAAACATTTAATAACGACCGGGGCGACGCTCATTTGGCAGCTAGAACTCTACAAGAAATCTCCCACCTTGAGCGCAGGGCCACAATCCGGAGCCCAGCCAAAGCTCAAGTCTTGAGCGCGACCAGCATTCTTCAAGCGCAGCCCGGAAAGCAACTCCTAGACTGCAGCCAAGACCGCCGCTGCGACCAAAATTCCTGGAGCGCAACCAACATTCCTTGAGTGAAGCCCACATTCCTTTGGCGCAGCCAAATTTTTAGATCTCAATTTCCAATGCTGTCCACCTTCCGCAATGATTTTGACGTGTTTGGCTACGCTGAAGGATTTGCGCCTGCGCTGAAGGGACATTGGCAGCATTGAAGGCATTGGGTTCACCTGCTGCCCTGAAGAAGTTGTGGCTGCCCTTCTCATGTTGTCTGCCCCGCGGCGCTTCAGCGCATTGTCTGGCGTGCTTCGCTTGTCTGAAGCAGAGTGCAGCACGCGGGTCAGGGCGCGCTTGGTTTTGAAGTTTGGCGATTCCAGCGATGAGCCGCGCAACGCTAATCCCAGTCAACACTTATCCCAGTCACAGGACCCGCCTTTGCCAAAACCCTCACGGCAAACGCACATGGATCTAAGAGCTTCACTTCCGCAAAGGAAGCAGTGGGAGATTCAACACGCAGCACCCTTGAAAGTCCTTCAATCTGCAAAGAGACCCATTTTGGACGGGTCATGGGCAATATGAGGCCTTACATCAACCGCAACAGCCTCTTCGTGCTCAAGTGAGCAAGTTATGCGTACGGACATGTGCCAACATGCCAGATGCGCATGCCAGTCTGCCATTTCGAGCTAGTGGCCGATGGTGACACTGTACAATTCCAGTACCACCATACGCATCTGGCCAAGTTTGTCATGGTCAGTGTGTTTCCGATTGCCTACAGAGAATCAGAATGGCTATCACCCTTTCTGGTGTTTTGCGCTTCCACTGTTCCCACGCAGCGCCCAGCCCAAAGCAAACCTTCCTTTTCCGTCGTGGCTGTTGTGATGAAGTCTGGTTCCCATTGAGCTGTTTCTTTGTTAATTTCCTTAAGTGTTCCAGGTACACCTCGGTGTACGCGTGCTACCAGATCTTCCGGCAGCTGGGTTTGCGGCACCTGCCCGTGCTGGGCATGGATGGCCGGCTGGTGGGCATCGTTACCCGCAAGGCCCAGCGAGCTGTGGGCCGCAGGCCGTGGCGTTGATTCCAAGCCCGAGCAAAGATTGGAGTAGGCAGTTTGCTAGACTCGGTGTAGACACAGCGCAGGAAGCAGGGCTTCACTCAGAATCAAAGGTGCCCCTTGGAAGCGGAAGGTTTGCGTGCCCTGTGCAAGGTAGTTGTTTGGAGAATAGGCACGCCGCGCCACAACAAGGAGTTGAACCGATCGCTTGTTCAAGCTTTGCTCACTATTGAACATCGAGTTGGTTGTGTCGAGACAGATGACAGCACCTTTCGCTTTGAAGCCTTTGCTTGATCAAGAACTACCGTATCGAGACCACCCACCGCTGGTTGGCGCACTAGGTTTGAACAAGAGCTAAGCGCACGGCCATTTCCGCACCCAGGCTCGAAAGCCCAAGCGTGTGGACAATGTGTTGACTTCATTTTGAATGCTTTCGCACTTCCCTTTTGGCCAACTGGGATTGCTAGAGGCTTTTGCTGGCGTGTGACGGTTCTACAGCATCAAGCATAACCAAGCCAATTCTGACTGCATGCTTGCAGAGCAGTGGAAGTTTCTCGCTGCTCAGAACTTTGAACACCTTGGCTGGAGTATAGCTTGCCAATCTTTCTCACCGCACGGGCCGGGGCGAGAGAGCCTGGCTCGCTGTGACTTGCGGGACTCGCATGACTTGCCTGCTTGTTTAGATTCCATCCAGGACCTCATCCTGGCAGAAGTGGAGGCAGAGCCTCAGAGATACGGCGAACTGGGTCGGGGGTGGACCTCATCGATGGTTCAAGAGGGAAGAAACATACTGTTGCTCATGCTGATTGCATGAGTGCTACCGGCTTGTGTTCTGACCCGGCTTGTATTTTGGACACCCTGTCCTGGTAGCAGTGGTGTTGGTCCGTATGTCCCAACGTCCGGCTTTGGAAATGGGCCGCATTCGTGGAAGGTGACTCACCTTGATTTCTTTCCGACTGAAATGCCGGCCGTGACTGGCGCTTCAAATCGCATGGACGTGGGACAGTCAGCCAGGATGATGACAGCGACCGCGAAGAGGCGGGAAACGGCCACCTCGGATGAGTGTGGCCGAAGAAACTTAGTCTTGTGGTGCCGAAATGGGACTCTACGGAAGGATTGGCTCAGGGCGCCGAAGCTTGCTTCTGCGAAGCATATTGCAAACTTTGTTGCTGCGGAAGCTCTGATCTCTCTGATCTGCACTTTATGTCTTGCAAGCTTCGCAGATGGCAAACAAAATGAACGACTTATTTGGCTCAAGCAAATTCCCATCTTGGCCCCGCAACTTGCGAGCCAGCTTGTTCGGGCCAAACAGCGCTTCTTTTATTGCGCCCCAGCGCCCCCCCCCCAAAAAAAAAACAACAGATAGAAAAGGGGACACCAAAAGCAAACCAGGGAAGAACCAACCCCGCCTCTGAATGCCGTGGCTGAAAACAACCATTTCCGCCACCGCGGGTGTGTGAAGTTTCAGAAGCTAAAAACGATTTGTTTGGCGCAAGCAAATTGTTTTTGGCTGGCGTGAAAAGTCATGTCCAGGACCAGCCTGACCGACTCACTTGCAAGCTTTGCAGATCACAAACAATTCCTTGTTTTGACAGTCTTCCCATGGCGTCGAGCAAATGTTTTTGGCGCCAGGTTCTTGGAGTAGAAAAGCATGTCCAGGACCAGCCTGATTCACTCGCAAGGCGCACAAGCGGCGAACAAAATGAAGAATAACAACGATGTGTTTGGCTCAGACACGTTGTTTTGTCAGAACGGTTTACTTGGCCCAAGGATTTCTGTTTTTTCTTGGCTCCTTTTGTTGCATTTAGTCTTCTGCGCAGAGAATAGACGTAGTTTGGAGGAACGCCCGCTCGCCCAACCCAAAGCTCCTGCGTGCCAGAAACGACAGGCTTCGGCAAATTGTGGAGCGGGAACGCGCAAACAAGGCTTTGCATTTACACAAGAAAAGCAACATGTTTCACCGCTGCGCGCGCCGGCCTCGCATGTCCGCCGCGCGGGTGGACGGATGGATGGATGGATGGATGGATGGATGGATGGATGGATGGATGGATGGATGGATGGATGGATGGATGGACAGGATGGATGGACAGGATGGATGGTGGATGGATATGCGTGGATGGATATATGGGTGGGATGGATGGTGGATGGATGGATGGGTGGGTGGTTGTGGGGAGCCGCTTGCCCACAGCCCCTCCCTTCTCCCCCGCGCGCGTGCGCCGCACGCGCGCCCGCACGCCCGCCCGCCTGCCCGCAAGCACGCTCGCGCCGCCCGCCGGCCCGTTCGCGCGCACCCTGGCTGGGGGGAAGTCGCCGACGCTGGCAGCGCAGCCGGGCGACTTCACATCTGCAGTGTTTTGGGCCTTCCCCCAACTCGCTCCAATGTCCGTTCGAGCAGTGATGATGCACCAAACGCGCTGCACAAGCAGACGATGCGAGGCGTCGACGTCAGGCAGAAGGCGAAGGGTATGAACCTTTCCACGCGCTGTCCATTCATGTTCCATCCTCGGAACAATGCTTGCCATGGATGCAAGTGTGCTGGGGCTACGGGAGGCGCCTTTCGGTTTAGCCCAAGTTTTGCGTTGCCCTTAACTTCTGAAACGTAAAAAACCCTTTCTGTCTGATGGATGCGGATTCTTGAGCCATAGCAGCATCTGTGCTTTGGGAAGCGCCTTTCGGCTCCAGACTCGTCGTCTTAAATGCGATGTCTTTGGATGCGAACACGTCTGTTCAATCAAACACGTTTTGCGAACGGCGTTTTGTTTATCGCACATGTTTCTTCAACACGGGGCAACGCCCATGTTTTGGGAAGCGCCTTTCGGTTCCACGCTCGTTATTGTTTTCGAAACTTGGCAGCGTCTATGTTTCGCGACGTGCTTTCGGTCTACCGGGCCGCTTGGATTATCATGGCAGGTAAGCACACATGCTTACCTACATACAAACACACATACATACATGCATTGCATAGACACAATAACTAAATCAAACAGCTACACCTACGCACACATTCATACCGGAATACAAACATGCACACACAAGCGTGCATACATACAGACATACGAACATAGAGACATGCATGCACACAAGCACAAATACAGCCACACACACACATAGAGACACACGCGCAGCCATACAAACTTACATGCGTACAGACACACAGACTTGCACACATACAGGCGTACAATCATAGAGACATACATACATGCAGACACACAAACATAGAGACATACAGACATACAAACCTAGAGAGGCACACATAGATGCAAACGTACACATACACAGACATACACACATGCATACACATATACAAACACACAAACACACAGACAGACAAACATAGACAGACAGGCACACAATCATAGAGACACACATGCGCACACACAAACACACGGACATACACATACACAACGTAGAGACATGCAGACATACGAGCGCAGACACACACTCATAAACACAAACATACATAGTTTCGGAAGTAATGCGGCAGACAGTTTCGGGAGCGCGACGGATGTCTAACGTGACTTTTGACTCCTATATAGAAGAGAGAGTGGATGCAGCAGCAACATCCCCACTATCACCAGCAAGGGCGCTTGTGAGCGAGCCTCAAGGGCCTCCGAAAAGGTCGCCTCAAAATGGCCTAGACATGGGCATCACTTTGGACACAGCAGCAGCATCCCCTGCTGTATCCCATCTCTCTTCTCACATGGGATTCAAAAGTGACGCTAGACACCTCCTTGTTGGAGCTCTCTTAAGGCTCGCTTGCGAGCGGTGATGGTAGGGACGTTGCTGCTGTATTCGAAACTTGCCTGAGCATGGGCACACAGCAGCAACAGCCCCAGCATCACCAGCAAGGCCGAGGAATTCCCAAATAGTATCTGTGTGTGCACGCCTGTCTGTATGTGCGTGTTTGCTTGTATGTCTGTGAATGTGTGTGTGTTTTTGTATAAGTATGTTTGTCTCTAGTTGTGTATGCGTGTGTTTTCTGTGTGTTTACGTATGCATGCATGCATGCATGCATGTATGTACGTAGCGTTTGTCTGGCTGTCTGTCTGTATGTTTGTCTGGCTGTCTGTCTGTCTGTCTGTTTGTGTGTCTGTGTGTCTGTTCGTGTGTGTGTAGGGCACACACAAATATTTCTGGGCCTGCGGCCTCTAGCCGGCTACGCCTCTTTGAAGTTACACCGTGTCATGTCTTGTCTTTTGTATGAGAAACGTATCCTGTGCGATGATATGGCTGGTTAGGTTATGCATGCTGCCCACCCCAACCCCAGCTGATGCCGGGGATGCCAGCTTTCTGGGCCCCAGCCGGGCCCCAACCCAGAAGGCTAACATGGGGTCGCGCGCGCGCCAGGGGCCCCAGAAACAGCAGCCCAAAAAGAGCAGCCCGCAAGCCAGCCCGGAAACGCAAATGCAACAAAACCGTAAATAGCAGCGTTTTGTGGCTGGGGTCGCGCGCGCGCGCCAGAAGGCCCGAAAACCAAGGGAAAAAACAAGGACCGCGCAGCGCGCGAGCCAGCCACAGCAAGAGCAAAACGGACAGAACAACAGCCCAAGGCTCAGCGCAGCAGTTTTTGGCGGTATTTACAGCGTTTTGTAGAGCGAGGGCCCGGTATCGCCGGCATGCCCGGCAGCGCTTGGCGCCAAAATGCACAAACATGAGCCTTGCTTACATCCCTCCGATACCTTGTAAAAAACAGTGCTTCATGGGTTGAGAGGCTTTTTGGAAGGAAGTAAAGCCCCGCTGAAGCATCACCCAGGCCCAACCCCAGACCCTGATGATGTCAGCCACATGGCCTAAACCCTGCGCCCTCGCGATGTTTTGCGAGGGTTTCCCACAGGCAAGCAAAACCGCAAGCCCGAGCTGGTGATGCAGAGGTGCCGGATTTAGGCAGCGCATCACGACCAAGTGGCGAGGGTCGGCGGCGCCCGGGCGCAGCCCCTATAGCTAAAGCTAGCAGGCTAATTGCGGCGACATGCTACCCCAGGAGGCGTAGCCGGATTTAAGGGCTGCCCTGTGCCGCCGCCCCCGGCTTCCTGAGAACAATTATGACTACGTTATTTTTTGTCGGGTTTAACGGCACACTTAAAGCATACACGAAAAAGAAGAGCACCACGATAATGATCATGCTTTTGATGTTACAAGAAGCGGCCTAGTGTTTTGAAACTTGGGCAGAAAACCATGTTGGGGGACTGCGACTGCGCATCTTTTCAGTTGTAGCAGAACGGGCACGCCTTTTGCATTGCTGTTGGTTTGTGGGCGCTGGCTTTGCCTCCCCTATTTTACGGCGTCTGGGCGGGGGGATTCCAGCTTTTTGTTCAAATGTTAATGAGGAGGCAAATCTTGGCGCGTTACTTTGTACCCTGTATTATTCTCAAGGGCGAAACTCTCGCGATTTTTTCGGGGTTTTGGCCGTGTTATCCGCGCTAGGTGGTCGGGCAGGTGCTGATTGTTACTGCGCATCTTTTCAATTTTTGCAGAACGGGTCTGCATTTTGCATTGTGGTTGGTTTTTGGCCTTTACCCCCCTTTTTTGGGGGGGCGGTAAAGCCAGGGTTTTCTTAAGTTGTTGGTGAGGTGTTGTGGATAAGTAGGTGATTTGTGGGTGGGGTAACTATGAATTCATTGTGAAGCTTCGCATGACGGGTTTTTTCTACATGGCACGGGTCAGAGTTAGAGCCATTTTGTTTGTACAACAGCGTGATCATAATCATCATGGTCATCATCAATCATCATCATTTTCGTCCATCATCATGTTCATGATCATCATCATCATTCTCATCATCATCTTCATCATTTTCATCATGATGTTCTTCATCATGTTCCTCCTCATCATCATCATCCTGATGATAAGCATCACTACGCATCCTCAGCATCAATGACACCCACGACAACGCATCCTCTGCATTTCCAGTCAGGTCTAACGGCACACTTGAAACGTACATGGAAAAGAAGAGCGTGATGAAGAACATGATGATGGTGCTGAACATGATGATGAAAATGATGATGATGATGAGGATGGTGATGATGAACATGATGATGAGCATGATGATGAACATGATGATGTCATGATAACTGCTGGTGATGCTGAGGATGCGTAGTGATGTCATCAGGGTGATGATAATGATGGACATGATGAAGGACATGATGATGAAAATGAACATGATGATGACATGAACACGTTCATCATGCCGTTAGACCCGACTGGAAATGCAGAGGACGCGTTGTCATGATAACTGCGGGTGAGGCTGAGGATGCGTAGTGTTGATTATCATCAGGATGATGTTGATGAACATGACGAAGAACATGATGAAGAACATGATGATGAAAATGATGATGAAAATGGTGATGGAAATGATGATGGATCTACGTTTTCAAGTGTGCCGGTAGACCCGACTGGAAATGCAGAGGATGCGTTGTCATGATAACTACTGCTGGTGCTGGCGATGCATATCATCAGGATGATGAAAATGATGGTGATGATGATGAACATGAAAGTGATGATGATGAACATGATGGTGAACATGATCATAAAAATGGTTCTGATGACAATGTCATTTTATCATCATGTTCATGATCATCATCATTCTCATCATCATCATTATTTTCATCATCATGTTCACCATCCTGATGGTAATCATCACTACGCATCCTCATCATCACCAGCATCACTATGCATCCCCAGCAACAGCAGCAGTTCTCATGACAATTATCACGACGCATCCTCTGCATCTCCAGTCAGGTCTAACGGCACACTTGAAACATATATGAAAAAGAAGCGCCGCGGTAAGGATGATGATCCGGATGCTGTGAGCCATCACCCAACATAAGTGGTGATGATAATCATCACTAAGACAAGGACAAAGACAAACCCTTCCCATGCGCCTCCCCTTTGGAGAAAGGGGTCGGCGCATATATATATATATCTCTCTCTCTCTGCGTGTCTGCGTTCATGTATGTCTGTATGTATGCGCGCGAAAGGCTAAGCAAAGTGAAACCAGGGAAAATATGCCGGAAACAAGGCCCACCCCCCCGCCCCTCCCCGCAACAAGCGCAACGCAAACAACATCCTGGGCGGCTCGTCTTAAACTTGGTAGGGTCCAAGTGTTGCAGTCTTACAGTGCAGGAAAATGCGTGCATTCTCTACAAGAGCTAGGATGAACTCACCCTTCCCATGCGTCTCATCCCCGGGACAAGGCGTCGGCGGATTTGCGGGGAAGCAAAAGCCCGTGCCGCGGAAGCCTGCGGAAGAGGAGCGGACACCAGTCCTTTTGATTTGTCCTTTTGGTTTTGGTCACCGCTCACCTGTTGCATTGGTTTGGCAATGCAAGAAGACACTGCTGCCACCGAGTCCCGTGCCCAGCACATGTCTGGACTGTTGGGCCTCAACACTGTCCCGCTTAACATGCTTGGCCGCGTGCAAAGTGTGTGGCTCAAAACACGCTCTTGCCCATGCTCAACTGAGCGGCGAAAAGAAACCTCCGCGGCGAAAAGAAACGTGGAAGCTACTCTTGCAGCCGCACGCTTTTTTTGAAGATTTGTATGCGCTCGGAAGGTCGTGCGAAAGCGGCATGCATGAGTTACGCGGCGTAAGCTTTCTGCAAGCTTTCCGTAAGCTCTGTTTGTTAGATCCCATTCTCGCTCAGGTTGTTTGAAAGAAGTTGTTTTTGGTGCATGCTTGTAAGTGAAGATGGCACCAGATTGCTGGAATGGGTACTTTCGAGCAACAAGTTCACAAATCAACTGTTCGTGCCCAAAAAGTTGTTTGGCACCTCGCCTTTTGAGTTGGAAATCAAGTCTCGGACGTGGAAAACAGCTTGTCGAGCCGCGGGCTTGGGTTTTGCGACAGTGCTTTTTACGTTTTGGTCTCAGGCTTGGAACACACAAAAAACTTCTCGAGCACAGAAAAGTTGTTTGTGGTTGTTAGGCACTTTTTAGCACTTGCAAGCGCTTTTCAGGGGCGTGGCTGGGAAACAACTTTTCGAGCCCCGAAAAGTTCTTATTTTGCGTTTGAAGCCCCAAACGGTTGATTGGTAGGTTTTTTACGGCCAGACAAGTAATCAAGACCCGACCGCGCAGTGGTCAGGATTGTGCCTTGCGTCCTGGCACGCTCTAGTTGAAGGGTTCAATTCCGCTCCCCGCACTCCAGCGGCGAAAGGTAGAGAGCTTGAGTCATTGCGGGCCGTGAAAGAACTTTGGTAGAAGTTTCACGGAGCCAAAGGCAGTCAAGCTGGCCCAAATCGTTTTGAAGGAGGGAGGCGAGTTTTGGCGCTGAGAGCGCAGCGGCAAGAGCCTGAGTCATGGCGGCTCGGGAGAAAACTTTTCGAGCCCCGAAACGTTTCCCACCAAATCCGCTACAACACGGTGTGGAGTCTCTGCTTCCCTGAGACCTGGCTGGCTCGCTTCTTTCGCAGGTCAAAGCCACTTGCCAAGTTTGTGCGCGGAAGTGCGGCGATTTTGTCGGAAGCGTTTTGTAAGCTTTTGGCAGCTGCGCGAAAGCCTTCTCTTGCTTTGCCTGCCGCAGGCCCACGCCACGAGTCGTAAGCTATCCGGAAGCTCCATCCTTTCAAAATAACCTGCGTAAGCAGCCTCTGGACAGGCGGAAGCTTTCCGCAAAGCATTGCGGAAGCTGGGGAAATTTTCTTTACGGGTAACAGTGCCTTTTTCATTGCAACTGTCCTTTTCAAGCCTTTTGCTCATCCCCGAGAAAATCTTGTGCATATGGGGCTGGGACTTGTTCGCCAGTCGGCTCAGGAAGTGTCTGTGATTCGTGCAGTGAGTGGCCAGTAGGCTTAGACCGCACCCCTTGCCAGGTTGAGGAAGAGGCCGGGCCTGCGGGCGGACAACATACTTGCGCCTGCCTTTTTCTCAGATTGGGCGGCTGGTCTGCCAAACCTTTGCGCGTTGCCTTTTTGACAAGAAGCGCCCTCCATGTCTGCAGCTGTGTCGCACCGAGTTCTATTCTCATTGCCTGCTGGCTTTGCATCATAATCCACCGCTCCATCCACACGCAGAACGAGCTTACCTGATTCTGCCCGCTTGGTAATCGTAGTTTTCAAGCTCACGCGCTGGTGCCAGTGTACCTTCTTATTGCGGCCAACGCTTTCCTTGCAAAACACAACTTGTTTGCTTCAGCTTCTTCATAGTTGCAGCCATGCTGAATGCTGTCCAGCTTCCGGTCCATTGCACGAATGATGAGGGGTCTTTTGCTGCATGCCTCCTGTCGATGGTCACTGTGTGGTTGCGTGTCTGCAAGAGCCTGTCAACAAAGTCTCTATGTCCGGAGTTGCGTGTGACCAGAGTGCCTCCCCCAAACACAACGAATACAGCGGGGCTCTTGAGCGCACGAAGATCACCTTGGGCGGCAGAAGCCAGACGGAGGTCAGGGAAGGTGGTCCCTAGGGTAGCATGATGCTTGGTTTTAGTGCGGTGTCATTTTCCCAAAACCCTTCTAAGGTTGGGTTCTCGTTTAGTTGTCTAACCGCGGGGGAGCGAGGATCGGCAGGGGTTCGGCCTGAAGTGTACCATGTTTGCAGCACGCCGTATAAACGCCACTGGCCGGGAAATGGCCGAACAGGCGGCCTGCCGGCCGAATTGCCGGCAAGAACGGGACCGGTCTCAAGTGTGCCGAGTTTACCGCATAGCGCAGGGCCGAGTTTGCAGCATATCGCGCAAGCACCGCCAAGAACGTGACCGGTCTCAAGTGTGCCGAGCTTTGCCGAGTTTTCCGCACACCGCAGGTGGTCGGGCTTCAAGTGTATACCGAGTTCGCAGCACACCGTGCAAGCGCCGCTGGCGGGGAAATGGCCGAACGAGCGCCTTGCCGGCTGAATTGCCGGGACGACCTTGACTGTCGGTGAGTGTGCCGGCTGAATTGCAACCAGCGCCAAGGTAACGGGAGGTGCTGCCGGCTAAATTGCCGGGGCGACCTTGACTGTCGGCGACTGCGCCGGCTGAATTGCAGCCAGCGCCGGTGACGGGAGGTGCTGGAGGCCGCGTGCCGGTGGGATGTGCTCCACAGATGCGCAGCGATGACGAGGCGCGGTCGTCCGTGTGCGTGCCGGTGGGATTTAGCTCCAGGAAAGCAGCAAGAATGAGCTGGGGTCATTCGCGTGCCGGTGGGATTTGGCTTGGCGGAGGCAGCAAGGATGGAGGTGACGGCGGCGTGTGCCGGTGGGTTTTTGTTTCTGCGGATGCAACCAGCGCCGAGGCTGGAGGCCGCGTGCCAGCGGGATTTGGTCCACAGAGGCGCAGCGATACCGAGGCGCTGTCGTTGGGATTTGGCTCCAGGAAACCAGCAGATCATCCGCGTGCCGGCGGGAATTGGCTTGGCGGAGGCGGCAAGGATGGAGGTGACGGCGGCGTGCGCGCAGATGCAGCAAGCGCCGAGGTGACGGGAGGTGGCCGCGTGCTGGTGGGGATTGGTCCACAGAGGCGCAGCGATAACGAGGCGCGGTCGTTCGTGTGCCGGTGGGATTTGGCTTGGCGAGGCGGCAAGGATGGAGGGCGGCGTGTGCCTGTTTTGGCGCAGCGATGCCGAAGTGCGGGCGTTCGTGCGCCGGTGGGATTTGGCTTCAGGAAAGCAGCGAGAATGGCTTGGCGGATGCGGCAAGGACGGGAGGTGCTGGGCGTACCGGTGGTGTTTTTCTCCACAGAGGCGCAGCGATAACGAAGCGGGGTCGTTCATGTGCCAGTGGGATTTGGCTCCAGGAAAGCTGCGAGAATGAGCTGGGGTCACTGGCTTCGCGGAGGCGCCAAGGATGGAGGTGACGGCGTGCGCCGGTGGGATTTGCTGCTGCGGATGCTGCCAGCGCCGAGGTGACGGGAGGTGCTGGAGGCCGCGTGCCAGTGGGATTGGTCCACAATATGACGGCGGCGTCTGCCAGTGGGATTCGCTTTGGTTGCGGATGCGACCAGCGCCGAGGTGACGGGAGGTGCTGGAGGCCGCATGCGGGATTTGGTCCACAGAGGCGCAGCGATAACGAGGCGCGGTCGTCCGTGCGCCGAGGTGACAGCGGCGTGTGCCGGTGGGATTTGGTCCACAGAGGCGCAGTATTAAGGCGCAGTCGTCCGAGTGCCGGTGGGGTTTGGCTCCGGGAAAGCAGCGAGAACGAGCTGGGGTCATTTGTGTGTGATTTGGCTTGGCGGAGGCGGCAAGTATGGAGGTGACGGCGGCGTGCGCCGTTGGGATTTGCTTCTGCGGATGCAACCAGCGCCGGGCTGACGGGGAACATCGGGCAAGCCTGTCCGCGGCAAGATCGGGCAAGCCTGTTCGCGCCGCACGCGCCGCGCGCGAGCCCCGCGCGCGCCTTTCGATGTGCTCAAACATCACACGTGGAAAGGCGCGCGCCGCCGCGCACGCGCGGCCGCCGTCCCCTCTGAACGTGTAGCCCAAAAACATTGCCAAAAAAAGGCTGCTGCTTCCCCGGGAGTCCAAAAGACAAAGTGAACGTGCATGTTCGCACGAAGTGATGCCCTTTCGGACAAGTGCTTGGGAGACGCCTTTGCCGAACACAACCCGCATGAAGCTCCGCGAAAACGTGATAAACCATGGCTTGTTGCAACGATGTAATTTCGACTGCCGCGTCCTGGAAGCGCATTTCTCTTGCTGATGCTTGCAGGGGCAGCGCAAGGCTGCCACCTAAGAGCTTTTGCTGCTTGCAAAGACCCAATTGTCCGTGGAGCCGTGAAGGGGCCATAGCAAAAAGGCATAATCCACGCAGCAATAGCAGCATGTGTCGCCCACAAGCTCCTGCCTGCAAACCGTTTGGGCAAGCAGTTCGCTGACAGTCATTCACAAATTGTTCGCATCTTGGTTATTGGGTTCCCCGGCTCTCCTTGCTTAGGCTTGGCCTTGGCTCAACAGGCGAGGGGTGGTCACGGCTTCGACTTTTGAACGATTTGCTGTTTGATATGACTGACAACATTGACAAGAGCACCCATGGTTTGGCTGGTAGCAAAACAGACCGCAAGGAGCACGTCGCGGCAGTTTGTGCGACGCAACACGGTGATGAACCCTACTCCGTTTTTTCTTGCCGTACTTGAAGACACCACCACTTTGCACCAACGTGACGGTATCCTGCACGTGCGTGTGTGCGTGTGTGTGTGTGTGTAATTTTTGCGTGTGACACGCGTACCAGCGCAAGCCAGGCTGCCTACGGCACTTACAGTGCCTGGTGCCCGCGAGAAGATTCACTGGATAGCGAAGAGGAAGTAGGCCGGGCTTTCAGGAAAGGGCAGGAAACTTCTCACTGCCACAAGTTCTGCAAGCAGAGTCAGCCACGCACGCCCCAATGATGCACGCGTTGATTGGGGCTGCTCTTTGTAGCAATTGGTTGGGAATGGTAGCAGATTTGGTTTTCAATTCTCTGGGCGGGTAGATGGGCTGCAGCCCGCAAGTGCGGGGCTTCAATTCTATCAAGCTTCGGCAGAAGGAGAACTGGTATGCCTATATTTGAGCAGGAGTTTGTCAAATGGAGCTGGTTCTGTGCCACAACTGCAGTTGCTAGTCGCACACACATGAAGCCATGATTCACCGGGTCTAGGTTGTCCGACCAACCTTCGTTGGTCGTCAATTCTGGGCCCATGTCCGACTGCTGGCGAGGAGTCCGCCCAGCGAAGCTTGTCACTTGCGCAGGTAGCCAGATCTCCACGCACTCAACGCAGTCGCTACAGCAGCCTGGCAAAAGTCACAGCTTTTCATGAGCGCAACTTTCCGCTGTGACAAAGGTATTTGTAGGAAGGGTATGGCTGGTATGATTTTGACGCATGAAGCAACCGATGCTGATCAGAACAAGGACAGCCCCCCCCCCCCTTCCTTTCTTCAAGGCCATCAACTCCTCAATGTCTGGACAACCAACTCCGGCCCTCTTTTGTCCTGTCAAGCAGGAGGACATTTCGTTTTTTGAGCGCAGAGGGCCAATAGTTGTGTGATTTGCGAGGGGGGGGCTTGCCTTGAAAAAGGCGTAAATGTTACGAGCTTGTCAAGCCTGGGCCAGTTGTCGGCCTGCCAACCAACACAGACCCTCACATGCCCCGCCCCCTTCTTTTCTACTTGAATTGCCGCAGCAAGTGTGTGTGTGTGTGTGGGGGTTGCGTTTTGGATTTAATTTTCAGGAGCTGCTTTGCTCTTGTCTTCTGTTGCGCTTTCATTCTTTGGTGTGCTGCTGATGCCATTGGCCCGCCGCCGGCAAAGCTGCCAGGCCTCCCATGTTAGCGTTCTGCAAGCCAGCGCGTCCGGTCTGCCTCTGGTGGCGAGGACAACGATGAGCTCGTAGACAACATGAAGAAGCTGGCCTCAAAGGCCTGCTCTGGGCCTCCGACTTATCCGCCACCAGGTGCACTTCCTGCTCAGAGGCTGTGTTAGCAGGGCTTGCTTTGACGGCGCTTAGCTTCTACACTTCGCTGGCCACATGGCGCCGAAAGGAAGCGGAGAAGTCCGACATCCCCAGGCAACTCCTGAAGCATAGAGGCAAGGTCTACGCCATGGCCACCCTGAATAGGCTGGTAATTGCCAAGCAAGGGGAACAGGCTTACACGTTCCAGAATGTGGTGGGTGACCGTGCACACATCCCTCATCAAGATTGGGACATGAAGAACCTGCTCACGAAACGAAGCCCACATCCGCCTTTCAGGAGCAGAAGCCGGAGGCAGCCAGACGGGTCAGAGAGGAGGTGATCTCCACAAGCTCATCCAGCAGTGGGAGAGCAGTACGTCTACGCAAGATAACGGTACTCCGGGAGCATCACCAAGGAGGAGGCGGACGATTTCTTCAAGTTCACGGAAGCCATGAGACATGCCGACGCAGTGTTCGTGGACCGGGGGATGCACCCGCGGAGCGTGCAGATTGATAATTGAGAACATAGAGCGGCTGCTCTTGAACCCTCCCAGGATCCTCTCCACTTTAAAATGAAGACCGGCACCCTGCTATGGCTCCTCCCTCAGTGTCAGGGATATCTGGAACTTGGTGGGTTACAAGAAGAACTGTTCCAAGGAAGGGCGGTCGCGGTCACGGCAGGCAAGACGACGCTGTGCAAGAACGGAGCGCTGGGATAAGGTGCTGGAGGTGACGTCACGAGGAGAATTCCTTGGGTCCTTCAGTGGTGGCGGGATTTCAGCCACTTTCGCGATCTCGGGGAAAAAGAGTTGCAGACTGCACTGTGACTTCTTATGTTGTCCAAACTTGTTTTTCAAGTGCTGCTAACTCCGGTTTTCACCACGTGCTCGGTCCTTGCGGAGGTTTATGCTCGGGGCCATTTTGGCTCGACTTGACCCCTTGTTCATCTCGCTCTCCCTCATTTGCTTTCCCACCCACCCTCTACTCCCTATGGCCTTCGACCTGAAGCGGCCGGCAGAGCAGATTAAAGAGGTGTGAAAGCATGCCAGGCATAGCCTCACCCAACACGAGGTGCCTTGGCTGGTCATTGGCAAGTGCGGGTTTCGTCGCGCCACGTTGGGCTATGTTGGGCAGGGGGGGCCGCAATGAAAATGCGGGCGGCCTACCAACTGCGTTACAAGACCAAGCCGGAGGTGGAGTTCGAAGGATCGGACCACATGTTTGGGGTGCTCAAGATCCAAATGCTCATCAGCCCTCCACAGGCTCCCTGCAAGACCCCCAAGAGGTTCACCTCGAGCACGAGCTTGAAGGAACCCCCACCGCTCCTCTGACTGTCTTTCCATCTCGTGGTAGTAGTCCATCCTCTCCGTTCCCAGCACAGTTCTTGTTGCCTGCACCAGAACTCGACCTCCAGTCCCATCACGCACATAGACACACCACTACTAGATCGTCCCTCGAAGCCTTCCAGGTCGGATTGTTTTTCAGGATTTGGGCGCCACCCGTCCAGAGCCTAGTCCCAGTCCCGTCCTGTCCGCCCCCAATTCCTTGTCTTGAGCTGCCGATAGCTCTATCAACACCAACCACTTGCCCCTGGCAACATTGATGTCCGCGGAGCCGCTGCCCGCCGTCTCTTTCGGTGGGCGCTTCATGCGGTCTTGCCAGTTTTTCACCGGGGTCACCCACACGCCTTCTTGGTGAGTTCCCAGATAACTACCACCAGGATGGCGATCGCCGTCAGAATGACCTCCAGCGACACCCCCTCCAGTTCCGGCTCCTCCGCATCTTCGGCCTTCGCGACTGCCACCAGACTCGGCATGCCGACCACACAAGGTGGCCACCCTACTTAACACGTACTTATAACTACAGTAAATCCGGGATGTTACCTATAAGCTACTTATAGCTAACTAGTTTCTAAGTACTTTCTAACTTCCGTAACTTTTTTGGCTCGAAAAAACATGTTTTTTTTATTCGGCCAAATTTAGCAGCACAAAACGTACAGAATCGACCGCGTTGTCCAGGTCGTGTCGTTCTTGAGAGCGAAAATGGGCTGTGGCTCAGCGAAACGGCGCCATCGCTCGGCTGACGCGTGAAAAGCGGTTTCGCGTATATTTGGAGAATGGAGAGGCAAGCGCATAAAATAATATATCCTGGGGGTCCTCGACGATACTTTTATGTGTCTAGGCCATAAACTGTGCAAGCCACCTGCTGGTTATGTCCTTCGACCATTAAAAGGAAAGAGGCGTCGAAGGCATCGATTGACTGGCCAAGTATGAGTTACTTTGGATCTTAATTGTTTCTGGATGTGATTGCGCTGGTTTTTGGCTGAATCGCAACGCTCAATGCATCGTATTTCAATCGGCGCGCATGGCTTGCAAACCATTGGGCCTTCAAACTCCGTTGCCTAGCTTATGAGCAAAAACAGACTTTCCATATTTTCATTGAACGTTGGGAGTCGGGCAAATTTGCGCGCATAAGAAGAGTCCTGGAAACTGGGCTAGCTGAGGAACAAGCAAAGCCTGCTTGATCAGTTTGCTTGTAACGATGATGGTCTGGCCGACCATAGTTATCCGCCAAGCAGGCATAATTTCCTCGCAAACACCCGCACGCAAATGTAGTCTTATGTCACACTCTTAAGCGGTTGGCCGGTTGACTTCTTATCCTTTTTGCCTTGCCGTTCGGACCAAACAAGCCAAAAAGCCAACGTTGTACAATCCCCGTGTATAGCCTCCATTTGTAGGCCTTTAACCATTTATGGCTTCTGACCTTCGCCCATACTTTCAATGGTCTTTGGAATCATAGGGAAAGACACATATATATATATATACATACATACATATTTATATATGTGTCAATGTGTCGCGGCCGCGCCGCTGTAAATTTAGCGGCTGCGCCGCTCCGAGGCTGCGCCGCTCCGTGAGCGGCTGCGCCGCTGTTTGTGTAGCAGCCGTGCCGCTACATTTACTTCCATCGTGGGAGCGATCGAGCGTGCGAGCGGCGCAGCCGCTATAGACGCCACAGAGCGGCGCGGCCGCAATTATGCATATATATGAGCGGCGCAGCCGCCAGATACAAGGAGCGGCGCCGCAGCCATTCACGGCACAGACGCTGCACGATGGAGCGGCGCTGCCGCTATTATATGCACATGCATCAAGCGCAGGCTTGTGCGCAGGCGCTGCAAAACATTGCCGTCCAAGCACCGCCAGTGCGCCGCATGGCAGCTTTGTACTTCGGCGCCCCGCTTCTTGACAAGAAAACTCAAAGGAGCGGCAGCAGGCGCCCGCAAGGCGCTATGCTGAAAGCAAGCGTGTGATTACGCTGCGCGCAGTGCAGCGCAAGTCCGGAGTCAGGGTCATGGTCTCCCTTGGCCAGGGAGACCCCGGCAACCAGGCATGGCTGGCTCGTTGTGCAGAGCCGCCGCACTGTCACTGTCAACCACAAGCGGCCGGGGAATTGCAGGGAACAGCTGCAGGCCCATGCTGGAGGCACTGTTCTGTCCGGGTTCAAATGTTACGAAGGCATCGCACGGGGGTCAATTTCAACCGAAATTGGTATGAAGAATAGCCGAAGGGTTGAAAAACGGTTTTTGTTTTTGGCGTGTCGGAGAGAGCTTAGGCAAGGAAACCTATCGAAAGAGACCTTGCAAAAACGGATTTGGCAGGCCGGTCGTCTTGGTGGAATTACAAAGAACTACACGGGCTCGGCCGGGTTCCAGATTAACAGTAATGAAAGAACTACACGCAAAACCTGGCCGCCAGAGGCAGCTGAGTGAAGGGTGGAAGTACAAAGAACTACAAAGAACTACGCGATCCAAGGTTTTTTGTTTTTGGATTCCGGTGGTGTGCGCGGAATGTGACAGGAGCCTTGGAGCTGCCAGTCTGCCCAGCTTGGAGCTGGCAGCTGTCAGTCTGGAGCTGGCAGCTGCCAGTCTGGAGCTGGCAGTTGCCAGTCTGCAGTTGCCAGTGTGGAGCTGGCAGCTGCCAGTCTGGACCTGGCAGCTGCCAGCTGGAGCTGGCAGTTGCCAGCCAGTCTGGCTGGTTCGGAGCTGGCGCCTGCCAGTCTGGAGCTGGCAGTTGCTAGTCTGGGGCTGGCAGCTGCCAGTCTGCAGCTGCCAGTCTGGAGCTGGCAGTTGTCAGTCTGAAGCTGGCAGTTGCCAGTCTGGAGCTGGCAGTTGCCAGTCTGGAGCTGGCAGCTGCCAAGCTGCCAGTTTGGAGTTGCCCAGTCTGGAGCTGGCAGCTGCCAGTCTGGACCTGGCAGCTGCCAGTTTGGAGTTGGCAGCTGCCAGTCTGGAGCAGGCAGCTGTCAGTCGAAGTGGCAGCTGCCAGTCTGGAGCTGGCAGCT